GTGTGTGTGTGTGTGTGTGTGTGTGTGTGTGTGTGTGTGTGTGTGTGAGACAAACCGACACAACACCATGTTGATCTGAACAGTCAGAGTAGTCATTAGCAACACTGCAGACACAGAAAGCTAATTTCACATGGTTTCCAAAAATCCATATCCAAACAGTGAGACGATGTGACTCACTCGGCCAACCATTGTTGTGGGCCAACTATTATAATGCATGCCTTCCACGTTACACCGGATTGTCATCTTGAAGTGCTAATGGAATGTAATGCACTGCAGGATAATCAAATGATTCCTGCTGCAAAGATGAGCCTGTTTGTCTGTTTGCTCTCCTCTGTTGCATGTCCATTAAAAAGCACTTTGCTGTGCATTTTAATCTCTATTATACAAGTGTGAACCAGTGGAAGTACACAAGTGTTTTTGACTTCCTGACGTGGTTCTTTTTGATAAATGTCAAAGGCCAAGGCTCAAACGGGCTGCTGACCACAGAAAAACATAATTACCCAATGAGATGTCAGAGTTTGCTGTTCTGTGTGTGTGTCTGTGTGTGCACGGGCTGATGTGTGGGCTGATGTGTGGGCCGAAGGGGCAGAACCATAAAAGCGGCTATTTTCATAGGTGACAAGAACAACATGTTTTCACTTGAAGTTATGATGCCATAAAGAGACAAAAGGAGCAGGAATGGACTTGTATTTGGGGAAAGCCTTCACACTGAGCCTCACTTGATGGATCAATCTCTCTCTCTCTCTTTCATACATGCACACAAACACAGAGGCTTAACAGGCAATGTGTATTCAGTCTGTTTAAAATAAAGTGACAGCTACAGACCTTGTATGGAGAAGGCAAAGAGAAGCAGTGGCACCATAAAAAACACACACACACACACACACACACACACACACACACACACACGCACACACACACGCACACAATGAAAGTCTGAGCCTGAGTCTAACATGGTGACAGTGTGGAGAAAAAGCAGATTCTGTGGTTGAGATGACTACCAAGTAGAAGCTGCTAAAAGAAGTATTGTTCTGTTCAAATCTAAATGTAGAATATGAGAATTTGTGCTTCTGAAATGTATAAAACTGCTCTATTTGCATGCACACGCAATAAGACTGAGACTCGTTGGCCACAGGTAAAAGCTTTATCAGCCAAGAATGTCAAACAAATTTCCACCCTCAGCGTCTAATGAAGCAAAGGGCGATCCTTCAACACTGGCCTGTGTGCTGAAGGAGGGCCGCGCAGTGATAAAGGTCAGGAGTTACAGTTCCACAACATGAGATGACATTTAATGAGTCAGATGCATTTCTATTGTTCTTTTGGCACATAACATGTGCAATGAGTTATCCACTTATTATTGAACAAATAGCATCAAGAATACTGAGAAATGACATGAAGCTGTGTTTCTGTCATCAATTAAATTGTACCACATGGCCTTTCAGATTATTTGCAGTGAAAACTATGTGTTGTTTTGCCACACAGCAAAAGCTTTGCGCAGCTTCTCTACGTTGGTTTGAGTTCATGCAGCGCCTGGGATCATTGAGGTGATGTGAAAGGCTCTGATGAGCCATGAAACATAAGGAGGGATAGTGGGATTTCAATTGGGACAGTCGAAAAAAAAAGCAGTGATCTCAAGGATGTTTAATCTTTCTTTACCCATGATCTTTAGCAACAAGAGGAAATCACTGACTTTCACCGATACATCTGACAACTGACATTACACAGATGTGGAAACAACATACGCAAGTGCAGGACAAATGTAAAAATAACTTGTGAAATGTAGAAGTGACACATTTTCCACAGAAAAAGTTTTTGCTTCAGAACTCACTTATACAACAGGCATGATTATGGGGGGGGGTCTCAGTGGTCCTCTATGAAGAAGTATTGCTGGTTGCTGTGTATTAGCTGCTGTGCTTCACTGTTTCTTGTTTTCAAAACATCAGCTGTGTACTGTAACTTGGTTATTATAGGGGATGCAGATTAAAGAAGATATACACACAAGGTCAAAGATGGCAATTTGAAATGAATTTGTCAGTATAAACATCCAGTCCTGCAGCATCAGGGGACTGATTCTCATTACGCATGTACATTTACTACATTTACTAAACAACCTTTTTACACTTTATTCATATGTAATTACTGTACACCTGGCAACCACGAATATATATATATATATATATATATATATATATATATATATATACATCATATTAAACTCTATTTTTTACTTCTATGCTATTTTATGTCTCAGATTCTCATTTTTAATTGTGTGATTTTCTTTTGTATACATATTTGTATGAGTATTGACTGCTTCACTGTTATTGTTGTGAATATGACAATAAAGAACTTGAACTTTTCCCAGGATGCTCCATCTAGAAAGACATTTGCCTAGTTTAATAGTTATAACAGTGATTTATACAAGAAGACAACCGATTGTGTCGAGTTATTTTGCAAACTGTAACTGGGACATAAGTGACATGATTTGCTGGTGAACCATGCCAGTGACAACTCAAACTACGGAGCCACTTCAATGGCCCTGTTAAAGTCTTCATCGTTATCTCTTTGCAGTTTACTCACCTCTACGGTGTCCACCAGATGCTCCAAAGTGATGATGCCTTTGCTTTTGCTCTCGTTGTCGCTGAGTAAGTCATCCTCGGACTCCACAGCAGAGGACCCCGTGGAGGAGATGGAGGAGTTGGACAGTTTCCTGCGCAGGTTGCAGTCCACCGCATCATCCCAGTCCTCTTGCTGCATCTCCCGGGAGGAGCCGCCACTCTCCGGGGTGATGGTGACCTGCGGTACCCGGGGCGCATCCATCACAGTCGGCGCACCGGTTGCGGACGACGCGGCGATTTGAGCGGCTTTCTCAACGAGATCATCGCACGTGTGAGATGCCTTCCCGGCTGTTCTTCGCTCTAACCGCGAGCCCTCATTGATTCCAGTCCCAGAAAGCCCGAAGTCCTTGGAGCTCTTTCTCCTGCACTCTTTGGGCATTGAAGACTTAAATCCGTCGCGAGTGCGCACGAGGAGAATCGCAAAGGCGATTGACTTTAACCTTCAAATCTGGTAATTTTACTTTCAGAAAGTTTACTTTGAGTCCAGGTGTTGAAATGATCCGCAGCGGGACTCCCTCGTTGTTTGTTGTCCGGGTTCTCACACATTAAAAAGCCTCCGTTAGCCTCTCTCCTCTGTGCGCACTGTTAGAAAGGGGAACCCCTCTCTGGTGGTGGCGCGGCTCGCGCTTCTATGCGGCGTACACGCGCGCGCCGGCGCACCCACACAACTGTGGAAAGCTTATTATCTTCCGCCTTTCTCGCTTCCTGTCTGAAAAATTAAACCAGCTGACAGGTTCAGTTTTGTAGTAACACACTACTCTGTCCCGCGCTGATCTACGACACTAACCTGACATTAAACTGAAGGGGAACTATAGATTTAAATCTAAATCAGCTTCACAAGATAGCAATCTTGTTTTTGTAGATGCATCAACATGTTTCTACCGAAAGACACTCACGCCCACATAAACAGACGATCAAAAGCTTCAGTGTGGTTTACTTAAACACTACTGTTGTCATTTAATGGGGAGGTGGGGGGCTTTATTTCCAGTCTATGTATATGTCTAACAGTGGAGATGTGCAGATTTGAAAATAGAATACCGTATTTGTATACAAGCATGTCATTATTACGATTATGATGATTTTCTTAAATATTTAAAATTAGCTTTAAGAGTTTGGATGTTGATGTGAGTTACTTTTAACTGAACTGAGAATAACTCAATCAGCTAAGTGCTGTTGCCCCCTAAATAACCACTAGAGGGCGGGTTGTGACAAAAATACCACATTTAACATTTAAAACTCCGCTGTTGTCTTGTGCCTTTGATTGAATGTTTTTTATTTTATCTCCTTTGTTGCATTTTGGGCGACTTGTATTTTCTTATATAATATCTAGGGGTATGCATTTGTGAACTTTTTGTGGTTTCTTTGATTCAAGCAGCATAATAATATATTATTAAAGTGGTTTATAAATAAAATGGTTACCGCGCCGACCCTCCAGGAGCCTGATGAGTGCAGTCGGCTCATCAGGGAGCTTCAGCTCGCCTGGTCTGCAAGATTATATTAGCTGCTGGCCGTCAGTAAGTTGCGCGCTCTCTCTCTCTCTCTCTCTCTCTCTCTCTCTCTCTCTCGCTCTCTCTCTCTCGCTCTCCTGTTTTCTGCCATGTTTGGTTTTGTTACATTTAGCTTTTCATTACATTTTAGTTACGTTAACTTATTTTTAGTTGCAACTATGTGGTCTCCCCTCCTTAGTGAAGCCTTGAGCTGGGTTGTGACAAATCGTTGGCTCATCTGGGATCAAACTAACCATGCTGGTAATATGAAGTCTGGACTTTGTGGTATTGGCTCAGTTTGGTTTGTGTTGCTACCTCCTGAGAAAATGTTGGTTTGTTAACTTGTATAGAGGCAATTGGGGCTTCGGTCAAAATAAACTTTTTTTAAACAAATATCATGCATGAGTTTTGTTCTAATGGGGAAGAGCAATATTCTAGTCCTTTTTGTTTTTTATCCAAACTTAAGTGTCAATTCACTGTGCATTTTTGGTATATGGTATTTGGTGACTGCAATTTTCCCAATTTAGTTTGGTAACAAAAAATTAGTAGCAAAAAACGGTGGAGGTATATGTTTGCATCATGTTCATGGCTTTCTTGGGGTAACTGCATAGCAGGGGCTTTCTGGACACAGTGAATAACAATAATTACAAATGTTAGCTATAAATTGTTTCAGAGTTAGTGATGGAACCATGAAGGAGGGGTGTGGTGACCTTTTTTTCAAAAGTATGATAATTAGAGACCCTGACATCTCTGCTTCCATTTTAGTTGGTTTGTTTCTGTTAATCATTATTTTATCAATACATGTTACTCGTTGTTAGAAAGTGTTCCAGCATGCCTTCTCTTTTACAATTTTGCAATGGTTTGCTGTGCTGTAATACTTCCTGGCCCCAGATGTAATGTGTGCCAATTTGATCAAATTAATTTAGGTACAGAACCAAAACAACCAAGGCCTTAAAACTATTTCAGAAACGAAACTACACTTTTTAATTATATTTCTGAAAACAATTAGCACAAACCTTTTAACAGAGCATTGTGTATTTTGGGGCCCTATGGTTTTGAGGCCTCCAGGGCAGCATTGCCTATTAGTAGAATTCTTGTTTTTGCTGTGAAAATGTTTGCTTAATGGCACAAATGGAAGGTTACTTTATTTGCACAAAGTGGCATCCATTATTGACATTACTCATTATATATAATACCTCATTAATTACAATACATATCTACCTTTACAGGCTCGCATAGACTTATATTAATGTTTTTTTATTCTTGTACCTTTAATACGTCTGCCATTGTCAATGGGAATTCATGTATCTGCTAATTGTTATTAGCAGCAAACGCTGAACAGCTAAACCTAATTGCTAATTTGCTTTATTTAATTAAGTAATGAAAAAAAGACAATTTAAACCCCAGTCCAGTAGGTGGCGGTAATGCGCCAATAAACTAGTTTGCAAGCTAAACAAGAACGAAAAGAAGTAAGTTTGTGGTACATGTGAAAAGTGGCAGGGTGAGACCTCTTACTCTGTCTCTGCTGACTCGTAGGTCTGTGTGAAAGCGTGTCAACTTTTGGTTTATTTTCCTCCTCAACAGTCCGTCTGAAAGCAACACAATGTTTGCCGTGAGAAACGCTCTCCGCCTCGGCTGCAGGTTGTCCATCCCAGCGGTGTCGAGGAGAGGATGCGCCAGTTCTTCCATCCCGGTGGACGACGTGGTGAATGGACTCACTGATGACCAGATACAGGTCAGCACAAAGTTCAGTTATCAGCACAGATAAAGAGCTGGTGGTAAGAAAACAATACTCCTAGTGTGATTTAAGTAGATTTTGGTTTATTAAGTTTGACGGACGAAAGAAGGTTATTTACGCCCGCTGTGCACGTGACGTAATGTTAGCTAGCAGTCGCAGTTAAGGAGACCTTGGTGTTAGCCGACCTGGCTAAGCTAACCACCTAGCAAACAGACTAGACCACCACCTAATGTTAATGTAGATTCATTTAGTTTACTCTTATTTAATAACTAAAGCAAATGACACTTAAACCCCCTCAAAGAGCAGCGTTTTAAGCCCCGCCAGTTATATTTGACCACTATTAGCCCTGCTAGCTATAACGCTACCAGCTAAGTCATTCTAACGGAAAGTTAGGAGGAGGTGAAAGACTTGTTGAAACTATTGTTCCAGTCAAGATGTATCAACTCGACGTAAAGGGACAGCAGGTCAGGTACGCTGTGCACCAGGGCAATGGCTGGGAGGAGGGCAGGGGGTGGGGTCCATGTGAAGCATTTGATTGGATGAATGTGTCTGTCCTCCATTCCTGGGTTATGAAGTTTAATTTAAAATAATTTCACCTGTAACTCAAACGACACACTTGCTAAAGATCTAGTTAATATCTTGAGGAACATGAGCACTTCACGTCTGCATGTTTATTTCTCAGTGCTTACAATAAAAACATCGCGTACACGAATGAGTTATTTCAAAGTCTATTGTTTGTGTTTTTTGCACAGCTCAGGCAGACGGTTCGTAAATTCTGTGCAGAGAAGCTTGCACCTTGCGCTGATGAGATTGACAAGACGAATGAATTTCCAGGAATGCGGGTAGGTTGTTGCACCACACTTGTAGTTTTCTGATTTGAGTTGAATAGTTTAGAAAGTGGAAGTATCATCATGTATATGAGCTACACGCCTGCTGTTCTGTATCTCACATGGGAGTTCTGTGTTTCCATGTATAAATTGAGAAAGATTCCTGCCGTGGTGACTTCTTGCGTTGTCTTTCCAACAGGAGTTTTGGAAAGACATGGGTGAGATGGGACTCCTTGGGATCACTGCTCCGGGTAAGATAGCTGGAGGAAGTAGTTTGCTTTTCAACTACCTACAGGAAACGTGTCTTCTCTTTATTGTAGTGTTTTTAAAATGACATCCACACATCTCTATTTAGAGGAGTATGGGGGCACAGGATTGGGCTTCCTCGATCATGTCATTGTGATGGAGGAAATGTCGCGAGTGTCGGCAGCCATTGCTCTCAGTTACGGCGCCCACTCTAACCTCTGTGTCAACCAGATGGTACGCCACGGTAACGAGAAGCAGAAGGAGAAATACATGCCAAAGGTCGGGACCGATGCAGCGCACGTGTAACATTTATAAAACACTGCAAACTCGGATGGATTCATTCTCATCACAGTCTCCTCTGTTGCCAGTTGATGACCGGAGAGCATGTCGGAGCCCTGGCCATGAGTGAGCCCAATGCCGGCTCTGATGTCGTGTCCATGAAACTCAAAGCCCAGAAGCAAGGTAGGACCCACTCGGCAACAGTGTTACTGAAGTTCATCTATATTGTGCTTTTTCTATATTTCTCCAATTGTCTTTACTTCTGTTCATATTTGTAGTTTATATACTTCTAGTTTATTTCTTTATTTTATTCCCTGTTTACTGCACTTATTTCTGATCCCTTCTGCTTCTGCAACACCTGACACCTTATCGTACTTCTTATTATCTTATTTACATCCACACTAATACCCTTTCCTTTAAAAACAATCTCCGTCCACACGGGCGTTTCAGCATATCCATACAGAAAAAAAACCTCAAAACGAACGACTATTCAAAAAAAAAAAACATACAACAGAGTAATCTAGTCTTTAATAATGAAAGGTTGTGTTTGATACTTAAGATCTTCCTCTATAAACTCAGACAGACAAATTTCGTGGGAAGTTTTATTTTTCAGACTTAGAGCAACACCCGCAGCATTGTAACTATCTCTCACACACATCAAATTTATTTGAAATGAACACTTACACATCAAAGTTTACTAGACTGTGGGTCAATAAATGTGGTCAACACACGTGTCTCACTCGTTTCTTCTCAGTTTGGTTGTTTGGCTGAAGTCTCTGTCGTACTGGAGAGCAATTACTGCTTTTGTTCCTTTATATTTTATGTGTGGACTTCACAACAGTTGTGCAGAACAAAATAAGCATTAATAAGAAAAGGAAAGTCCTCCGTTTTGTGTCCGTCGTCCTCCTCAACGCAACAAACCGTGACTTCAAACGTCCGCTAAGCAAATGGCTTTGGAGGCTGAGGACAGAATGCGGCTGATGTCACCAGACTGCGAAACCCAAACATTGTTAAAATGCCAGAGGATGCAGGTGGATGGAGCAGCAGATACAACCCAACCCAAACAAATCCAGCCAGTCAGAGAAGGGCACCTAAATTACCAACAAAGTTCCTCAAAAGACGGAGCACTCACTCTCACACAATTACAGTCACACATTTCATACACAGCTGTAACAGGGGCATAGATGAGTTCTGTTTTTTAGCTGATGATGCATAGATAATACATATACTGTATGTGTATATATATTAAAATAATAAATATTTTTATTTTGACTTTGTATTTTTCTGCAGGCGACTACTATGTTCTGAATGGCGGCAAGTTCTGGATCACAAATGGCCCGGATGCCGATGTCCTTATTGTTTATGCAAAGACGGATCCTGGCGCCCATCAAAAAGGCATCACAGCTTTCATTGTTGAAAAGGTAAATTTAGTCAAGTGGTTCAGGTGAGGTGGGTCTGTTCTGGGAAACGTCCGGCTTCATTCCGTCGAGTGAATATGATACAAGATTATGCAAACGGTCATGAATCACAGAAATGAAAAGCTTGTTCTCGTATGTATTTTGTAGGGAATGCCTGGATTCTCTACTACACAGAAGCTCGATAAACTCGGCATGAGGGGCTCAAACACCTGCGAGCTGGTCTTTGAAGACTGCAAAATCCCAGGTGTGTGTTAGAGTGCAGACTCCGCCAAATGTTCCCTTGTGTAAAAACAGGAGAATGGATTGTTTTTTTTTTTTTTGGCTAATTTCTTTGTGATTCTTCAAAAGTATTCTTGTAGGCTTTTAATTTCTTTAGTTTGGAATGTTTTTGCTTGTTTGTTGTAGAGGAGAACATCCTCGGTCCGCTGAACAAAGGTGTTTATGTGATGATGAGCGGCTTGGATCTGGAGAGGCTGGTGCTTTCATCAGGACCTATTGGGTAAGTTCATATCGGACATAAGCTTGAATTAAACTGATAATTATTACATGCAGCACAATGAAAATAATACATAAAATGTAATAAGACGGGGGTCATATTTGTGTTCTCTACTGTATTTGTTACACATTTAGCAACTATAGCTCGCGCTACGTGGCTAAGTGAGTATAAACAAAGCTTAGGGTGCCAGTGCATTACCAGTTTTAAAATGCCATTATTTTGGTGAATAGAAGGGGCATTAACATTCCCCAGATGGTAACGATTTAAATGAAGCAAGAGGGTGCCTCTGGTAACCCACGATATTGCCTCTGTAGATGTGATCCATGATATATAATATAATCCGCAGCAGTTTGTAACAATGTTTCTTCGTCTGTTTCTTTGTCTGAGTAGCGTTGCCAAACCAGCAAATGATAAAACACTTTAAATAAGCGCACAGTAAAACATTTGGAGCCTTTTGTTGTGTGACATTAAATAATCTCTTTAAAATGTACATTCTTTATTCTGTCTTGGTGCTTATGAGGTCATCAGGTCCCGTTTGAGCTTTTGATTGAGCACAACGTCTAAATACTTGTAGTCTGTGACGGATTGTATTCGTTCACAACAACCAGCAACGTGATTGCTGAACAAACTCACACCGCTGACATTAAGAGAATGAGCAACTCGTCAGGAAAACTCCCGAAGAAACAAGATTAAGATCAAAATTAATGTTTTCTTTCACTTTTTTCTCTTGTTTTTGAATCCTGCAATTTCTATTATGTGATATCTTCTTGTTAAATATCCCATTATAAAGCAGGTAGCTCAGATCAAGCAATCTGATTGGTTCATAGCTGGGATATAATAACCACGACTAGGACGTCTAATTCCTTTACCTTGTCCGTGGTTTAACAATAAACGGCAACATACTAATAATGAACATGCGTAGCCAGATAATGAAACCAATATAATGCTTGGCAGCTAGTGTACGTTTCATAGTGACCATCCTGCTATGTGCAGGCAGCCAGCCCAGGAGGGCCCATTTTATTCTGAACATTAATATTTATTGATTAAAGAATTGGAAATGTTTAGTTTTTTACATGCACGATGACCGTTTTTATAAAAGCAATAACTCGGTGCGCTTCTTGTCGGGCTGTGATATAATCGCAACAAACTACGCACGGCCTGATTATTTATTTATTTGATTGTACAGTATGAGACTTGTTTGAATTGTTCTTGACGCGCATCATCACTTCTCAGCATCATGCAGGCCGTTTTGGACTCTGCGGTTCCCTACCTGCACCTCAGAGAAGCTTTCGGACAGAAGATCGGACACTTTCAGGTTTGACCTTCAACCTTCGCTTTACGCAAGGAAGTAGTTCTTAAAGGTCACCATGTGACGCTTGCAGCTGTGCAATTTTAAAATTGTAATATGAAATTAACACAATTCTTTATGTTAATCTGTTTGCAGCTAATGCAAGGCAAGATGGCGGACATGTACACCAGGCTGAGCTGCTGTAGGCAGTATGTGTACAATGTCGCCCGCGCTTGTGACAAAGGACACTTCAGTTCAATGGTGAGAGGATTTCACCATCGACTCCCGGAGCACCCTGCTGTTAAGAGTATTTAAAATGTAGCCACAAAAATAACACTTCAGTTAAAGTGGTCGGTGAAATGTTGTCACAGTGTCAGATGGTGGTTATGTATGTGTTTGACTTTTCATATTGTGGTAAAATATTAGTTTAATTGATTCTAAGTTGTATAAAGTGTGTTTAAAAACGCCTCAGACTTGGTGTGATGGAACCCGATGAAGAATGAAAGATCTCTTTATTTGAGACTGTCGGCATCTTATTCGACTTGTTCCTAAATTGTGCCGTTAAAGGTAATTTCCCACCACTGCGGCGCTGCACACAGTGCCCGTGTTGACTTGCGTTGTCTCTGCAGGACTGTGCTGGAGTGATCCTCTATTGTGCGGAGAACGCCACCCAGGTCGCCTTGGATGGCATTCAGTGTTTGGGTAAGTGCCAAGACACTGAAAAGTGAAAACGGTCTATAAAATCTATGCTGCACTTTCCACTGGGGATTTATTTCAGTCAGGAGAATCTTTATGGACAAAAAACTTGCAGCTGATGCAAGATACAGATTAGATTCTGAGGAGGACTTCATGTGGGGTTTATGGACCTCCTTAATGGTTCACTCTGATTCTGGACGCAGCCTTATTGTTGGTGTGAAGGTGGTTTGATGTTAACGTCATTTAGAAGCTGGGAGCACGACTCTACAGGTGCAGCTCATTTGGTTAATAAATAGCATGCTGACTAATATGAAGGGATGATAAGAGAGTAGAGCTTTACTCCAGTGTGTGAACGTGGAGGGAGTTACCTTCAGTAGGTATATTCGGCTTTTGATAAAGTATGATTTGTTAATTGTACTTCATGTATAAAATACACATTGGTCGTGTTATCACGCCGTGCAACACAAGTTATATGAGTCGCAGCTGACAAAGATGTTCCCGGCTCAGGGACTCATTTAGTGTGCGTTTAATGTCTGCAGTCTGTGCGCTCTGAAGTGACCTGCTCCGTTCCTGCACACTAACTTTAAATGATGTTCCTCTCCTGAACAGGTGGGAATGGCTACATCAACGACTACCCCATGGGGCGATACTTGCGTGACGCAAAGCTGTATGAAATCGGCGCCGGCACAAGTGAAATTCGCCGGCTCATTATTGGACGAGCCTTCAACACCATGTACAAATAATCCCGACTGAGAAATTGGGATCGCTAAAGACTGTACGAGCGGTTTGCCGTGGATGAACGCAGTTACTCATTCCCAGGGCCTTACGTATACTGAATGATTTGTTGCCGCTGTTGTGGATTGTCACACAGGATTTGAATTCATATACGCAGATATAGCGATATATATATCGTACATGAAATCACACAGAGATGATCGTAATGTTACAAACTACCAGCAATGACTGTTTTGGTATGTTTCTTTCGTATTTGGTTAATTTTAATGTGAGTTGCATTGACTTGATAACCACCGAAATGCCAATAAAGCAATACAATTATTATTTTTTAGAATTGAATAGGTTGTTCGTTGTATTTTAGTTTATTTAGGCTTCTGGAAACTTCTGCAGCTGTTTCGTCTTCAATGTCGGTGTTTCAAGGGTTATAAGAATGAATTGTGAATAATGTACAATTATTATACATCATTAATGAGTTTCTCTAACCTTACTAGTGAATATCACTAGTTGATTTAAAGAAAGTATCATGAGCTTTATTACTTCCCTTTCATGATTTCATTGAAAACCATTTCTGATCAATAAGTGGGAATAACACATCTGATATCCGAGTATTCTGTTGTAGAGAATTAGCGTTAGAAAGCCGTTTGTTCGTTTTTAGGAGCAAGCGTTTCCCACTGTTGTGTACTGGCTGTACAGTCCAACTGGAGAAACACTCCTGATGATTTGTTTGTCTTCTCTTCTCCTAAGGACTAAATGTAGATAGTGTGAAAATGTACTGTTGTCTGGCATGAATAGAATAAATGTTTTATTTCTGGACTTGAGTTTGTGTTAGTTTAGAAAAACAGAGGAAAACATTGTAAATACAACATGCATGTCTCTGTGCAGTGTGAACACGGAGCTCCTTGTTTCCAGAGAAGCCAAAGGGAAGACACGCGTTCAGACAATGACTGAGCTATCCCACTGTATTTGAATAATACATGTCTCAGGGTGGATTTTCCGTTCACAGGAAGCAAGTCAACATTCTCTCCAACACACTGAACTGGAATGAGATGTTGGTAAGAAACTAGCGTACAATTTTAGTTTGTAAGAATAAATCCGCTTAAGTAGTCCTTAACAAAATAAAAGACTGTTAAAAACAAATTTACTATGATGTGACCACAGACGCTTTCTGGAATTGATTGACTAGTGTTGGAGGTATTAAGATCATTTACAATCAAAGCATTATTATGACACTATAAAAACACCCTTTGCGTGTTTTCTTCAGTAAATGTAGAGAAGTACAAGCAGCAGCGTGTGCTGCAGAATCAAAAGTTAAAGCGCTTATGAGTGTTTTATTATCGATATATAGCTTTGCTGATCTTTTTGTATTATTAGCAGCTTTGGTCTAACTTTAGAGTAAAGCATGTGAGTAAAGATATCAGCTACTTCATAAAGGAATAATCAACCATGGAATGCTTTGCAGATCAGTAATAAGTGATTATAATGCAAACTTCTGGGTCTACCAGGTTGTAGGTCCAGATCTTTGTGAAGGAAGTTAACTTGTCAGAGGAGAGTGCTTTGTCTTCTTTAGCTGTTTGTTTCTTTATGAGGCTAACTTCTCCCTTCAGGGGAGAGGTGCAGCCTGAATGCCTTGTGAAGTGAAGGATACCTCTTTATAAGCATCTGGAGATATGTACTGTACGTGAGTCATTGATAATGGATTATAGTTAACGCTCTTTATATATATATATATATATATATATATATATATATATATATATAAATGGCTTTATTAATAGATAATACATATTTTCTAAAGCTTTATAGATCAGTTATAAGCCATTAAGACTTTTGGTTGCTCAATTCTCTACTTGGACAGTATCAATTTAATGACAATTTTATTTAACATTTTGCAACTTGTAAATGCAAACCCAATGTCTTGTTATAAAGTGAGAACCCCATATGCATTTATGGATGTATTTGACATCTATTACCAAATAGAAAGAGTAAACACAGGACAAAAAGTCCGCACAACCTGGTAACCCCAAAGTTGTTCAGTAGCTCATAGCTGATCTATAAGGTGTTGTCAAATAATTCATTAACATCAACAAATGATTAGTTTCCACTTTTAAAAATGTGAATTATCAGAGAGTGGCACCAGGATAATGATTAAAGTAACTATGCGTTGTAGCCAGCAGAAGGGCACTTTGAACTTGCAGTAGTTTGCGGACTAAATGTTATTGTATGCACACATATCAGCACCTGTCTGAGATCAATGTGGGTTTTAAATGTGTCCGTCTACTTCTGTTGCAATAAATGCATTATTTTAGTTTAGTGAAATAAGCTGCAGTGAAATGAAGGGAAACTCGAACAACAAAGTTTAACCATGACATCCAAAATGTGTGGACCAGTATCTGTACAAAACAAGCTCATAATGTCACAATCCCAGGTTCCATGATATACCTCTGTAAAAAAAAAAAAAAGTGACTTAAGACAAAACAAACTCCTCCACACGAGAGCTCCAGGAGGCTCCACGCAGTCACATGTGAGAGCAGGTTTTGCTGATGAGCCAGAGCTGACAAACCTCGGAGCCCTCATTGAGAGCCCAGCTCCCCCTCCCACTCACCGCTGCCAGGGTTAATACAAGTGTCAAAAGAACAGGGCTTAAAGACATTAACTAGGTGAGAACCATCTGTCAGCCACAGCGGGGCTGCTGCCGCTGCCGCCGGGGACGGTGACATGTGGACGGCGCGTCCGTGGCCCTTTAAGAAACTCCATGTTTTCGCTACATGATGCGTCAACATAAAAAAAAAAAGCGGATGATGCTGTTATGTAAAAACACGCTGAAGTGAGCCGTAGTTTGCAGGGAGCTCCGCTGAAACGCTCAGCACGCCTCACTTCGTCTTCTAAACCGGGATTGTGGTTCAAAGTGTCGAGACTGGTGGATTTTTACGCGTAAGCGCGCGGAGCGGTTCAGTTTGGAGTGAAGAAGAAGAAGGAGGAAAAAAAAAAAAAAAAAAAAAAAAAGGCTTCAGCCGATCAACTCAACATGAGTCGACCTCCACTCTGTTTTCCTCCTTCACTTGCAGGAAGCTTACACCTGACGCATCTCTCTCTCGCCCTGTGGAAGTGATCGTCCTTCTTGACGTCGGGATATTTTGCAGCCCGCATAGCGGTAAGCCACAACAACCTTCAACTCTTATCGTGCAAAACTGAAAGTGTTGAGGCAGGACAGGATCAAGGTTTGGAGTAATGTGTCAGCTACGGACGGATTAACAGATCCTTCCTTCTGTTTTTTTGGTGGGGATCTGTAAACCCGAAAGGAAACTTTTAAAGGATCTCTGTGGCTTTCTTCCCTCACTTCTGTCGTCTTTTTATCGCCTAAACGGTGAGTAGAGACTCGGCTTAGTCTCCCCACAGCTCGTGATCGCAGAAAATGTCACTCGAGCAGCTTCTGTTTGAGTCAAGTTTGAGGCTCCACTCGGCTGCGGAGTTCACGTGTCCGTGGGTTTACTGTCACATTGTTTACTGGAGGTGAACGCTGTGTTCTCAGCCTGCTAACGGCACAGGAGAGCATGCTGGACACATGTAAAGGTCCTGGTGGCATTTTACTGTTTTGGATCTAGAGCTGAGTGATGAGCGGATTAATCAATTAACTGAGTCGTCATACCAAAAATTCAGTGCGTCCAGGTTCTCAAATGTGGCTATTTGCTGCTTTTCAATCATAATTAACTGAATATCTTTGACTTTTTTGTCTGCAAGCCTAACTGAGCTACATTTACTCCAGTACCTCACTTAAGTACACCTTTCAGGTACTTGTACTCTACTGTAATGCATCCATTTCATGCTGCTTAATACTTCTCCACTGCTTCTCGGAGAGTAGTATTGTCCATTAAATCTATTTTACAGCACACTTAACAACCCAAAAAGTAAATCAAATAACTTTTGTTAATCAGATACAACATTAAAATGTTCTTTATTATTAGAACATATGACAATGTAAAGCTCTGCTTCCATGCTGAGTACTTTCGATACTTTTAAGTACATTTTGCAGATATTACTTCTGTGTTCTTCCAAGGAGGGGAAAAGAAGTCTGGAGAACACTGATTGATTTACAGCTGTTAATAGTTGCCAACACACGTTTAAACAGCCGGAGTCAACATGGGCAAAGACAAAAGGCAAACGCATGCATAGTCGACCAAGAACAGGTGAACAATTATCATTTGAATAATGTGTTGGATACTGGATCCAGGTGCCACACCCCACACACTATGAACAACAAAACACGGATATATCTGAATGTACAAAAAGTACAAACTACTGCATCCACATCAAGTGTAATGAATTTTTGAAAGTCATGTGTGCTGCTGCAGTTTATGAAGGATTTAATGGTGTTTTCCCCCGCCCCCCAGTACATGGATGTGTGGATGTATTGTAATAGCTGCCCTTGAGATGAATGCAGTTCCATCTTATCTAAAGTATTTGGCGTCTAACAATGAGGTAGATGCACGGTGGCCACAGTGAAAAAGTCAACCAGGAGAGTGTGTTTGGTGTTTTTTCTAGAGTCAGAATGAACCAGTCTGTCCCTGAGATTGTGGGAATGGGATCAAGTTGTTAATATTTAAAGATGGATCACATTTGAAGACACCGGAATGTTTATTTAGAGGAGCAAGTGGTCAGTGAGGGCGTAGTGGTTGTTTAATTTGCAAAGTGTCAAGCCTCAAAAGTTATTACGGGTTTTATGATGTTATAGTAAAATTCAGGTGTTGAAGTGTTGGTCTATAAATCAATCAATGTGCTACAGCCCTCTTTCTTTCCCCTTTACCTCGATCTGAGAAGCAACACATTCAGCTGAACACAGCTGGACGTTTTTTTTTGTTTTTACCTTTATTTTCCAGGATATTCGCGGTGAAATATAAAATCTCTTTTTCGAGGGAGTCCTGGCCGTTACGGCAGAATAAAAAGTTTCACATAAAAGCACAAACATCAGACTTAAAAACAAAACAGTACAAAGTTCAAATCAACATACAAAGTTCCTCATAAAAGAAGCAAGCAACAGACTTAAAACAAACAGCAAATGACATCAAATAATGAGTTAGCAGTGTTGTACATGTACATTCACTGGTCAAATAGTCCCTAATCTTGATTTATAATCTTCCACTTTATGGAAAAATCGAGTTGAGGGTGCAAAACTTTCACCAAAGACAGTGAATGATGTACATAAGTTGTCCACATGAGTGAACGTTGCAGCTTCTGATAGTTTAGGCATCGGTAGAGAACACAAGGAGGCGGTTTGTGTAACATACGCCCTGATACAGAAACCTGTACCAGTGTTTCATTCTACAGTTGCATACAGAAGACAAACCAGCTTTCTCATACAAACTGCAACGGTCTGAAACCCGAATCAGAGACAAATTGCAGCGTAGCATGACATCCTGAATATATTATTATCAAAGAAGATGAATCTGCATGCATATCTAAAATATCACAATAACCAATTGCTGATTAAAGCTTTGCTTCAACAAATTTTTTTTCCTTGCACCAAAATAAAAACAGCATTTGTTTCTTTAATAGAAACCAACTTCACACTGACACTCAATGTGATGTTTAAAAGACAGATTCTGCTGGAAGATGCATAAAGAACCTTGTTTCAGCAATACTTCTGTACTTTTACTTGTAATGGAGTATTTTCACACTGTGGTAGTGGTAGTTTTACACAAGTATATGATCTTAGTACTTCTTCCACCACCGATGGGTCAAAACAAGCAATTTGAAGTCTTCTGTTCGGGCTCTGGGAACATCTTTTGTTCTCCACTTTTTCAGATATCATATATAGATCACAGATTGAGTGTTTAATCAGGGAAATTAGCCGATTCATCACTATTGAAAAGAGTTGTGTGAGTTGCAGCCATGTTCAGGTAAAAGACCATCTTATTTGTGGAAAGCTGATCACCTCCTGCTGTAGAAGACAGCTGTTGAAAAGTACACGCTCTGACATGACATCAGGGTTATAATGCATGACACACAAGTTGCCAAGTGAGTTATTCACTATAATGGTGTTTGTAAAGCCTCTTGTGGAGAGAACAGCCAGACAATGGAGCGTCAGTTCTGGAGGTTGTGATAGATCTGTGTCCAGTCAGTTCTCTGCAGCCTACCTTGACAGGCCTGTCATAGCAGCATGTTGAATAGAGGTGCAGCGCCCACACGTGAGCCATAAAGCTGGATATCAATCCTGGACATAATCCCATTATTTCTGAAGAAGTGTGCTGTTGTGGCCACACAGAGAGAGAGAGAGAGAGATGGAGGAGGAGGAGGAGGAGGAGGAGGAGGAGGACGGGAACATGCCTCCTGTCACCCAAACACACTGTCGTCTCTGCTGTCTTCTCTGCTGTCCCAAAGGAGACAAATACTTCCCGCTCGGATACAGGCCACATGTGTTCAGAAGAAAAGACAGCAGAGAAGAGAATTCAAGAGAATGGGTGTTGGCATTTATTCATATTGTAAACATATATTTATTGTTCCTATGATTGTGTGGTTCATCTTGCTAAATGAAATGCATAGCAAATCTATTTTAGGAAGTGAAAACAACATCCCAGCCAGTGTGAATGTCTTTGTTGTTCATGACGTTGCATTGGAAAAGTACACTGACGAGTCCCTTTTTCTTTTTTCCAAAACGCATGTCATCGTCACACTGTTGTGCCACAGAAGGAAGTAAAATATTATCTATCAGGAACTCGGCTCGTTGGGCCTAATTCTTTTTGGATGCCATTCAGTACAAGCTGCCTTGGGTAGCAAAATAACTTTTTAACCCGTTTCTGTCAGTAGCTGATACTTTCAGCTTCCTAGTCAATACTTCATTTGGGCAACATTTGCATAGCCATGTGAATGCTGGGCTTTGAGACACCTGGTTTATTACAACTTGTGTCTTACTTTACTAATTATGGCTTTCATTCGTGTTGGTAGAAATAACATTGCACCAAGTTATTTGCTGAGATCATAGCTGGATTAACCTGCTAGGAGGCCAAGAGGCAGAAATGAACTTCTGGGCCCCACATTCATTTAGGAATATGTAACAAACAAGCACAAAACTGTTATAATGCCTCTCAGGTTACTCACAAGGGCTTTTTAAACGGGGACCAACAGGCACGAGGGCTAAAAAAAATCTTTCAATCTCAATGTTTTTATCTACAGTTAACATTCTCTTTAAATGTACTTATTTATTTAGTTTCTTTTACTTCGTAATGTTGGTTTCACTTCTGAGACTAAACCTTGGGATGCAAAACCGAAGCGTTGAAAAGGACCCCTTCAATGACGTACAAACTGAAACGCAAGCTTGTTGAAGAGTTGCACCACTATTAGAGCCAAACCTGCTAATTATTTCATGAAGTGCCAGAGACATAGAAGAGGCAATTATTTGAACCTGGCGCCACTTGACCATGAAGTAGCCGTAGCCGTATTTCATTTATGAAGTGGCTTCAATATAGAAATGTTATTCATTACTATCTATCTGTCTATTTATGTATTTTGGAGTTCAAACACATTAGAAATGGTTGTTTTTCTTCTCTCCAATGTTCAATACAAACTGATCCGAAACCATAACCCAAAAAACGTCAATATAAACCAAACCGTGGGCTTGTTGAACATTTGCATAACTGCGTACGCCCTTGAATTTCTTGAAAACTAGTTGCATAGACACATAGTGAGGACCGTTCAGGTGATGAAGCAGGACCCGTTTTAAGGCCTTAATCTTGTCATTTGCTGTGTTTATAATATTTTTTTTCCCATTTAAATCAGTCCAAACCAGTGACATTGGTGCTTTAAGAGTTCTGGACAGTCGTCCAATAATCCCTGTAGTTAACTCACACTTTGTTTGAGTTCTGGGAATTATGACAACATCGCTAAAAAGAAGTCCAACAGGGCAAGAAAATGTAACTCCCCATGTTAGTCAATCTTATTTGGAAGAGAAAACAAAACAGAACAAATTACAAAACCGTCGGTTGAAAACATGCATCAGTTTACAGACTTCGAGGTTCAACTTTAACACACTGTATTTACTTAGTTGTGCGTGCAAAAAGATTTCCTGCAATTTGGGATTATTACCGTAATTTAGGGTGCACGCTCTTTGGGTTTTACCTCTAAATGACACGGTTGAAATAATCCACCTAAACTGTTGACTGTTGTTAAACTGGTGTCATTACCACCTGTCTGATTGTCTGACTTTGTTGTAGCACAGTGTTTACAGATTTCAGCAGTTACTTTTCAATAATGCAGTCAATGTTATCCTAACGAATAGATATGATGGGGAAAGCTGTGAAAATAAGACCTACGTTGTAAACCTTTGTGGCTACCATATAATTGGCAAAACCTTGTACTTGTATGTTTTATAATGCTAATGAGTTTCACAGTTGGATCTCAATCTGTGCTGTAGCTTGTGCTCCTCCAAAAGCCATTAGCCAGCCTCTCTCTCCCCCCCTCTCCCTCTCTCTCTCCCTCTCCCTTTTGCTCTCCCTTTTCTTGACTCGCCCTGGCACAATGCCAGAGACACAGCTGTGAAAATTACAGGTCTGCTTCATGGAAACACAGAAGAAGAGGAGGAGGAGGCGGCAGGGTTGGTGGGGAGGGAAGCATGAAACAGAGCAGAGACCCACAGCCCGGCGTCAGCTGTTGGCCGGCACACAGCTGCAGTGGATGTGGAGCTTTCAGAGCCGGGGTCTCGCTCACTTCTCACACACACTGGGATTGTTTACATGGGGTAGCATAGTGTGTGTGTGGAGGGGGGAGGGGGGGTATCAAACCCTTTTTTGCTATGGCCTAACAGAACAGAAGCCCTCACTGTGACTGACAAACGTCAGGCTCCTTCAGTAAAAAGCACATGGCACCAAGCGTCCTTCAGTTTGGCAGATGCTAAAAGCATGACGGAGGCCCTGGCAGGTGGGCAGGCAGGCGGGCGTGCGGCCGCCTCCTCCTCGCTCCTTCCTCCGCTGGGTTGAAAAATCCAGCAACAGGCCTGCTCTATCAGAGAGTCATTGTTCATGATGATGATGACAATCTCTCACTGTCTCCATTGCCTGCGCTATCTCAATCCATCACTCTCTTGTCTTGTGCCTCCCCTCCCTCCCCGTCCCCTCGCTGTCTCTCACACATTCCCTTAATTTTACTTCTCTCTTGTTCTCGCCTGCTCTCTCAGAAAGTCTATGTCAAACTATGTATCCCCCGAGGAGCTGTCGGGCAAAGAAAAGCAGGGTGAATGTGAGAAACTGCCCCTCTGATTTCTACTAAGTTTGACTTCTCTCCTGCTCGATGAGATGTGAGATTCCCTCTCCACCTTCCTCACTCGTCTCTGGCACTTTGCTTCAAATTTTGTGAATTTAGTCTTCATCACTATCTCTCTCTCTCTCGCTCTCTCTCTCTCTCTCTCTCTCTCTCTCTCTCTCTCTCTCTCTGTTTTCTCCTCTCTTCTTCCTCTTTGCCAGTCAGACTGTCTGGCATCTTGCCCTGTCTCTTTGAAGAGGAGCAGTAGAAGCAGATAATTACACTTCCTGCCCTGTATCTGCTCTGTAGCGCTGAACTGCCATCTCTACATCTGTAGGCTTCCACGCTGCAGCAGAGAAATAACAGTTCACTACCTGTTCTGTTTTACAGCAAAACGCATTGTTTTCCAACGATGACGCGTGCATAGTTGCAGGCTAAGTCTACAAAATTCAGTGATCATCTTCAGAATATAAACTCCCCTACTTTTGTGCCATGCCTCAGCTGTTTCAAAGCATTAAACATATGTTCTATCATTGTCATGTGTGGTTTACCATCTATTTATCAGTTTGGTGGCAGCGTTAAATTCCCTCAGATTATATTTTCCTGTGTTGTCTTATTTCTAGCAGAAAGAAATTTCTAAACCCACACAAACAATATGTCGTACGAATAAGTTGCTGTCCCAGAAACAAACCGCCGAGTGCCCCGGTGTTGTTGCTTTCGCCCGTGCATAACACAAATGCCTCTTGTTCACCCACGCATTCTTTCGAAAACCTTGGTCGACAAGTCGCAGTATTCAGCCAGTCGTATGACAATGACACGTTGCTGCAGTGGTTAGCAGGGGTAAAGCCTCCTGAATGACTTCACTTTTTCGTTTGCGTGTTTACTGTTTGTGTCATCACATTGAAAACATGTTTTGCTTTAAAGTCAATGTGAAATGAAAAATGACATTTTAACCCCTTTTAGCTCATATTGTCTGTCATGTTGTGCACCTTAATTATATATAAAGGATCTTTTCTTCGTGTAAAACAAAATATGTTGTGTGCTTACTTCAGTTAGTACCTAACAATTTCAGCCAATAATGTTATGACATTCATCCATTAATCAATCAACATTCTTTCGCGATAACTGAACATTCTTTTTGTGATAAGTGAAAGAATGTGGAGCTACAGAGGACTATGTGGAGCCACAGTCCTCTCTAGCTCTCTACATTCTATTTAGCGGTCCAATCAAAATGCGAGGGATTTGATTTAAATCTCTCTTGTAACTGTACGCCGCTCAAATATTTCGTTTCACTGGGGAATAGAGGTGAAGTCCCGCCCCTTTCAGTGAACCACCATGGGGACGGTACTGTAGTCCACGGTGAGAGTCAAATCATTTTTTTGATCCTGTTTAAATTGCGCCATGACTTTAAACATATGTTAGACAATTTAAAAGATCATTTCACAAGTCAAGAAAAAAGAGTCGCTGATAAAACGCATCAAGTAAGATGACGTTACATTTGTGCATGGAGCACATAGCTGTGTTGGTGATGTACACTGTGCAAGAAGACAGATGTTTCACACCCAAAAACATTATGCTACGACAATCTGCGACTTTATTGATTTGCAAAATGATCTTTTTAATTGACAAACATCCAACAAAAATATATTTGTCTCTCACGGTTACTACCGTACATATTTTTTTCCAAAATACAGTGCCATGGGGGACACCGGAAGGGGTTTGACAACAAACATTGTGCACTGCCAGGACATTTTCAACAGGTGTGACGCAGCCCTGCTTCTCTCCGCCTTTCTTCGTGTGACTAAATAGACCACATTCATGTGTGGTTTAGGGATGTGGATGTTGATTACATGTTGGTGTATTAACAAATATTCTTCACAAGATACAGAGACAGATTGATAAAGCAATTTTAGCTACCATGATAGCACCTGTGCCTTCGCCACTGAAAGGTTTTAAAATGAGGTGGAGGAAGACGCATGGAGCTAAGGTTTGCCACTTAAACCAGCAATTAGGGATTTTTTGGGCCACCTTGGGGCAGCGTAAACAAATTGTAAACGCAGCATTGACACGCCATCATCTTTTAAGCTTAAATGGCAAAGTTGTTGGCATTTATTACAAATGCAACAATTACAGAGCAACATTAGCATTCATTTGGAGTCCAATATTCATTTTCTTTTAGCTCTGTTTTGTTCTTCCTGAGGGGAAATATCTCGCTCTTTAGCATCTAAATGCTCTATGGGGAAGGCATGACCGCCCTACTCTGCCTCTGATTGGTTTAGCTTGATAGTCTTACCCTAACCTTAATCAGTCTCACTGGTCATGCCTAAACCTAACCAATACTACCAACGAAGGCCACAAGTACTTGCCAAACAGAGGCAGAGTAGGCCGGGTCTTTCCTTTGCCATAGCAGGATTTGTCCAGGTATGGCTACTTTCTCTTGCTTTAAAGGCTTGAATAGAAGACTTCACATTGTGGCTATTGGTATTATTGTTTACCTTCGTTCCAAGAACAAACCGTATATATTTTTGTAAACCTTTAGTTGACAGTGCACTGACGCTGTGGCAGCTGGAGGTCGGCTGCTCTGTTGCAGAATCTGAGCGCTGACTTTTCAGGCAGGGCAAGCGGAGAAAGAGATCAATAAAGTATCACAGTGTTATTTCACTCTCCTCGGTGCTATCTCTCCACCTTTTAGAATGAAAAATTCATCATCCTCCGTAAATATCTACTGAGACAAGTTTCTGAGGCAATATCTTGTTGAATGGGGGTATACACACACGACCAATTGTACATCAGTTGGGAGATTTCTGAGGTGAAAACGGTCTGAAGAAATACTGTTGAGTTTAACATAATATTACATGTTGTGCGCAAGGATGGTAAGGGGTTTCCTTTCCTGACACTAGAGATTCAAACACTCTTCTCTGTCAGGGAACCAACAGGTCATGTGACCTTATTTTAAGAGCCTGTCTTTGCCTTTATTCAAATATGCACCTGTGATCTGTCTATGGGAGTTGCAGCAACTGTTCTGACCACATCTTTTTATAAGTTGATTACTACCCACACATTTTGCCTACATTAATGTAGATTTTGCATTGTTTTTGATGATGTGTTACACCTGTCTTTACTGGTAGTGGCTAGATTGAAATCCTCTTTGCAAATGAGCCCAGAAAAAAAGACAAATATACAGTTTAACTTGCTTCATATTTGTAGACGTGTTAAGTATTCACACTGAATTCCTGGATACACCTACGCTCAGTTCAAAACCCCTGAGTATGTGTGTGCCCTTTGGAATCTCAAAGCATCTTTCAGCTCCTTGTTGTTTTTTTTTTTTGCCCCCTTTTTAAAATATATGTAAATTTTGTCAGATCTCAAATCGTTTTGAGATTTTCACTAGTCTGCGTTTTAGCATTAATTTAGATGCCAGCTCTATGTCTGTATCATCATCATCACCACCAGCAGTGAGTGATTGAGTGAGTGAGTGCTTCCTGCATGCCGGAAGCATCTAATGGTCCCGGTCGGTGTCATGCATCTTTCTGCAGTGGGTTGCAGTGTATTGCAGTACAGGTCAGCTCTCAGCAGTCTCTACTCCCTCAGCTTCCCCCGGTGCTCATGCCTCATTAACTCAACCCACCCAGCTTATTTACAGCTGTTAATTACACACTGGAAAGCTGATATTGATGAGGACAATCTGCATTTATCCCAATTAAGCTCGATTCTGACTAGATGCTAACTTGATAGCAGAGTGGCTTTCCAATCAGTTTGTTGTTAAGAGACTGAACCTGCTGTTTGGTGCAGTTTTCCTATAATTGAACATCCACTGAGTGAGAGCAGCATCTGAGCCATCATCATCAACAGTGTGTGTATTATGTAATAGGCCGATGTTATCTGTGTCTCCTCAAGAAGTAGGGTAATAAATGATTAGCGGCGACCCATCACTCCTCATTAGATTCCACGTATCATTAAGAGCAGAGGATACAGTAAATGAGACTAATTAAGAGGGATACATGCTTCTATTTTCTGCTGTCGGTAATCTGACCATAATAATCGCTGGAATACTCCTTTAGGGATTTATATTATGTAATACTCAGAGTTGATCTTAATGGTGTTTATGTTGATGTGCAGGGACATGATATGTTCTATAAACAATAGGTTTACTATGAATATTTGAGCCAAGTAAACACATACATGCTTTTATTCTCTGCTGTCATTAATCTGAAATTAGGAATATATATATTATGGATGTAATATTAATTAGTGACTTCACAGTTTGTGTTGCTATAGCTATGGGGATGCAGTGTGTGTTTTACACACAGTGAGTTTATAGCTGTCTGAAGGTGTTTCATATGATTTCAATAATATTTCAATATACAGTTTAATATTATGTTTTAGTTGTACCTTAATATATGACTATAATTCTAGGACCTATAGTTTTCTTGCATGTGACGATTAATATTGTAGTTTACTGATTACTGGCCTCTTCTTATCTTTATTAAGAAATATGACATGAGCCTTATTAAGGCAAAAAGAGTTAAGTGATCTTCATGATGTTTGTGTTGCTGGAACTTGGTTTATAGTTGTTTTTTTAACATAATGATAATTTACAGTCTTGTTAGTGGTGAGTAAACAGTCCTGTTTGGCACTATTTAACAGCCCTTGAGGACCTATTTTCTTATAGTTTTTAGTCAGCTGTCTGTGTATTATGAGTATTACTTTTTTTTTTTTTCTCAATTTCTACTTATTGTCCTTATGTTTTAGGCTCAAACTTAACTATTTCTGAGACGACCACTTCTTGTTGGCCTTTAGAAGAGAAGTTTGGTAATGTCCAGTGGCGATGTTTTTGCTCAGGAAACCAAAATAGAGATTTAAAATAATAGGACATATTGCAGGGGGAAATACACGCGCATATTTCTTGAAGGGAATTTAAAAAAAGAAAATTCCCCAGTGATGATTGCGTACCCGGTTTAGTCCCTGCAGGGATATTACAGCAACATGAGCGTTATAGAGGGATGTCCCGGTGCAACGGCCAATGTGAATGCAGGCAGCGCATGCATATTATCTCCAGCATGCCACTTCGGAAGTAGGTCACCGCTCACCGATTTGTTCACCATGTCTCCAGCTACTGTGGGCTGTTTGGTCCGCGGATCGCTCCCCAGGTCGACAGCCCGACCGGGTAGAAACTGACCACCAGGAACAGGGACGGACGGGATTTTTCATTTCACCCGACGGGACACGCAAGGTAACGATCAATCGCGGCTGTAATCCCCGTCACAGTTGGAGATGATCGGATCGGTGGGTAGCCTGCTCCTAACAACTCGGCTGTGACACGAGCTCCTACTGATACTGATATTAACCAGCGGCGCCTCGAACCCCGGATTGATCGAGGATGGTCGGCTGTTTTAGACTCGTTTCCCCGTTGAGGAGCTTTTTTCACTTCTCGTATCGCAGCCCGCACTCCTGCTACGGCATGCTGTCAGATTAACACCGTCCACCACCATGGCCAACTACGAGCTCCAGTAGGCGAGACTGCTTCTCTCTCTCTTTTTTTGTAGCCCGATTACAATACGTGCAATAACGCGGCTCTTAATTGCATTTTTTCCCCCCGTTTATTATAATCCATAAGTGGATGTGGGTGTGTTGGTAACTGCTGGTGCCTGAACCTGCATGGAGGTGAAGGGAGGAGGTGGTGGTGGTGGTGGAGGAGGACGGTTGGGTGGTGTTGGTGGAGGATTGTTGAACTGCTGATTTGCTCCATGAAAAGTGGAGTTGTGTTGCTGTGCACTATCTGAAGCAGCACACGCACCGCTTAGATTCCTGAGAGCTCCGTGCCGCGGGGCTTTCTCTCTCATGATGACAGCTCTACACCATGTCCGTCCTCTGGATGAGTCTGTGCGACAGCCAGGCAGCACAGCCACCTCCTCCTCTGTCTTCAGATATTACTGTACAGTCAGTGTACACGCAGAGGGGGAGACAACAGTATCATTATGTGGGTGTTGTGTGTCCATTGTGCGCCATTTATTTTAAATTGCATAATGTTTAAAGAGGGGATCTTTTGATATCTGTCATTTTCAGAAGTAGATATCCGTCTTTCCATTTGATCTTCTAAATCAGTGCTTCTTAACCTGGGGGTCACAACATCAACAACGGGTCCCCAGAATGTAAATAAAGGGTCACAAAGATAATTAAAAGGGATAAGAAGGAAAATTGATATCTGTTACCTAAAATAATTTCACATTTTAGCTTGTTTTTCTTGGAATACACTGGAATTGGTGAATCTGACAAGTCATAAGATGATGATCAAGAAATCCTGTTAAGTTCCCCTTTTCTTGGGAAAGATACTTTTACCCTTTCAGGCCTTTAAAAACCTTCAAATACAAAATAAATCACTCTTTTGTGAACCTGCTCACAAGTCATGTCCACACAAGACAAACATGTTTTGGAAACAATTATCTAAATGACTGGTTTCCAAATATCAGACCGCGATATTCATTTGAACCTATTGTTTTATTTGTTGTGGTCAGTGTGGTGAAGGTTTAGCCGGGAATAGTAAAAACGCTCTTCTATGAGCTCATTTCCTTCCATTGTGCATGCTTGTCTTATTTAAATGAAGCGACTTGATTTGATATCCGTAGACAGAAACTCAATGCGAGGCTCCTTCTGTCCTCCTTGTGATCTGGAAATTAAATTTCTCTCTCATGGATTGCATTTCACGGTTCACCGAGTCCTTCGGCAATAAGGGCAGAGATGGCATGAGATGGTTCTTGAAAATGTCCAGCCAGAGAGTTGCGTCCGCTCCGAAGTCAAAGTGGGTTTGCGTTTGTGGTACGACGCAACTGGGTATGTTCTCAGCAATGTTAAGATGAAGCAACAGATCACAGCTTACAACAGACACAAGGTAGGATTTAGTGTAAAGAAAATGAGCGAAGAGAATAGATTAAACCTCACACGGTCTTCTTGTAATTAGAGCACTTCAACAAGAACCGCTCTTTTTGGTTTTCCCAACCCTTCATTAGGTGTTACATGATAGCGAGTTGTAAAAGAACAGCAGATGTGTTGCACACTGGTGATGAGTTGAAGTTGTGTTAAATACTCGAGTGCATGAATAAGCGATTGTTATGCAGCGCAGAAACAGTTTTTAGCAGAATTTGCTTGCATTTTTGAGTCATATGCCGTCGTTACTCTCTTTTTGACGCACGTTACTCGACTGCAAATGGTGGAAGAATACAATTGTGAAATGGCGTATGGGCAAACGGGATGTCTTGACTGCCCCTCAAGAGTCATTTAAAGTCTGGGTGCCAAGTGGTTCAATTTAAAAACAGCACAGAAAATGACATTTAAACATGATTTGATGCACTTTCCTTCATAGAAAGAAAACATCAGTGAGGGCACAAACATCATTTACAAATGGGCATATCAGGGTCTCACATTTCAACTGATTCCAGTCAGTTATTGCCAATACTAGAGATATAGCATGTGATTGCAGATAAAGCCTTTTTTTTTTTTTTTTTTTTTTTTTTACAAAAAGTTGGGATTTTATTTGTGAGGGGATGCATTTTCATGAACAATAAAACAAGGACGCTTGGTGATGAGGTTGTTATGCTCTCTTCCACTAAAGGTTGCATCTCTGCACTAGTGCGTCAGAGAAAATCCAAACGCTTCCTCTTTTGTTAACTAGCTTGTATACTGTAAATAATTCATGTAGCGCTGAAACGGTTAGTAGATCCTTGGATCAGTTTATCAACAGAAAGTTTAAAATCAATTTTTGAGAATCATTAAAGTCATTTTCTAGTTCTAGCTTCGGCTTTTCTCTGTTTTAACAGAATATCTTTGAGGACCAACAAGACCTTTGAGTAGGGCAGGGCTGTCCTCGGCCAAAGAAACTAATTTATTAGTCGAATTAATTAGTTTAGTTGGTAAGAATCACAGAAAAGTACCACTTTAAATCCAGTGTTTACCAAAGATGTGTTTATAAGTTGCTTGGAAATAAGTAATTCATCATGAAAAGCAGAAAATCTTCGTCGACTGAGACCAAAATGACGAGTTGACTAATCGACAAAGTGAGGGTAGCTCTAGAATATCTCCACTTGGGTTCGGAGAAACTGTAAGGAGCATTTTTGCTATTTTATTGACAACTTTGGAAATATTTGACAATCATTTGACGTATGAGCTTGTCGGATAACGAATGTGCACTCATAACGAGCAACTTGTTAAATAATCTAACTGGACTTATTTGTGTCTGGTATTAATGGAAGCTGAGATTCAGACTTATTCATGTCTGAGAGAGTAAGTGTTCGTAAAAAGCTGAATGGTTTTCTGGCTGAAGAGTCACTTCATTTAAAAAATAAAAAGTCCCATGCTGACTTAGTTCTTGGAGGTCAAGTGGCATAATTGTGTTTCGGTGCAGAAGGATGATCCGTCTTCATGCTGCACACAGGAGTGTCATTGCATAAAGGTCACTGGCAGTTGAATCTTCGGAGCTTTAAAGGTTTTCTCCTAAGTGAGGTGCTTTTTGTGTTGAGAGAGCAGAAAGACTCGTGTGAATTGCAGAGGATCGTGCAGCTTATACGTCTTCTACTCCGAAGTTGCTGGAGGTGCTTTGATGCACTCTGTAGCAGCCTGTTGACATGGAAACTGAAGAGGCTATTGTTTGACGCGTGTTTTCCGCCACCTGTGCTGGTGAAATAAGGATCAATTCATGAGTCATTTGATCATGCTGTTTGGTTTGGTGTCTTCAAATATTGGAGAATGACTCCTTAATGTCATGCCTCACAGTGATTTTAAAGAGTTGGCTGAGCCTTTTACCTTGTAGAAATTGAAAGATACACTCCCTCAATGTGACAGTCTTTTCACGTTTAATCTGATTACCTACTCTTTGCTGAGCCATAGTGCCATGCACAGAGATCAGCTTCAGGCTGTGGCTATGGTTAACAACAAATCAGTGCGGAATAGTGCATTACGGATCCAAATCACTTCTAAAAGCATCCATCGCATCAAACGTTAAATGCATCACCTAAACTGATTCTGGGCCGTGTTTCTGTGCTTCATCACTGAGTGAGTAAAAGCTCGTAATATTGAGCTCCTTGTGGATTGTGCGAGTCATTAATGTGCTTCAATATGAGCTCATGGAGCTTAAAATGATCTTTATTGACAAAGGGAAAAGGCAATATTTTCTTTTTTTAAGTCGGCTGCAATCCTGAATCAAAACACGCAGCAGACACAGCATAATGAATTCCTATATAATGAGATAAGTGGGAAAAGAGCAAATGTTAAACTAAGATGGAGCAGACAAATGGGAAGGAGGTTGGAGTACATATGGCCTCAGGCATAACATATCATGTGCTCTTTATCTCCGCTCATCTTCCGTCTTGTGTGTGCAGTGTATTTGCATGTCAAGGAGACAGGCTGTCTAAGTGGTCATATTCTCTGGGGACCTGGACAGCAAACTAAGTAAATCCGATTGTTGAATAATGCATCAAAAGATCCTGTCGGTTACATTAAGTCACTCTCAGATTCTCTGTCTTTGTGCGGCTTCAGCTTTACAGTTAAATGTCCAATCTGTGTCTCCCCAGAGAGTCTATGGACCCTGGTGATGACCCATGATGATGCTCGCTGAAGGGTCTCTCTGAGCTGAAACCCGCCATCGTAGGACCCACGTGGATGAAGAGGAGGTGGTGGCTCTGCCCCCGGACGCTGTGACAATGGTGAAAGCTCAGCGGAGCCAGCCTGTGAAATGTGGGAAGCCCCGGAAGGAGAAGGGAAGCAAGGAGAAAGGAGGTGGTGTGAAAAAAGGGAAAGAGAGAAAAAATGAGTTGAGAGGAAGGAAAAAGAAAGATAGAAAGAAGACACTGGCAGGGGGTGACGGAGATGCGCTGGATTGTTGCGTCCTGCTCACCCGTCTAGAGGAGAAACGGGTTGAGGGTAAAGTAAAGGATGCACCAAAATCTGGGAAACAAAAGAGGGTTAAAGTCAAGAAGAAGCTGCACTCCAGCTCCAGTCAAAGAAGGACGAAATCTGGATTTAAGAAAACGTCCACAGCCAATCAGCAAGCACTGGAACCAAAAATCAACCAATCTGACGCCTTACTCATGTTTCCCGCACCTGTCTTTGAGCCCCGCCAGCGGAGAATGGCCTCTCTTAACGCTGAGGCTGTCAACAGCTTGCTGCTCTACAGAGATGATTCAAATCTCACGAAGAAACAGCAGCCTTCTAGTGAAGACAAAGCAAAAGATAGTCTCACTAAAAATGAAAATAGAGGTCATAAAACCAAAAAGGTTGCCCCGGGAGGGAAAGCAGACCCAAAAGAAAGACCTAAAAAACAGAGGCGGTCGCCAGCGGAGGCTGAGAACATCGACTGGTTGGCTTTGTTTGCGCCGACGCCTCGGCGTCAAGCAGGCCTTACTGCTGCAACGCTGCTCAAACTCACTAGTAGCCGGTATGGAACCAAACGGCAAAAGATGACGGACTCCAAGCCGGCGAGTGGGAGTGAAGCAGCAGCTACGACTCAGGGTGAGATTAGCGGTAAGCCAGTATGTGGAGAAACAAAGCTGACCAAAAGAACAACACATCCCAAACATGCGGACCAACTAAAGCACATAAAACAGGGTACAGAAGATCCGGTTCGTTCCCAGCCGGACTCTACCATCCAGGGTTGCTGCAGTTTGTGTAAAAGTGAGGCTCTGGATCCAGAGTGGAAGGGCGCCACAGGAGGACAGGAGTGTCTCAAACATGAGCTCCATCGTGGCTCTTCGCTGGGATTCTCCTTGAAAACAATCAAAAAGGAGCAGGTGGAGACTGACGTGTCTTCCTGCTACTGCTGCTCCCAGGAGAGGTGCGTCGAGTACTGTCACAGACTGGCCCTCTTCCTGGAGGACAAGACCTTCAAGGAGCCCGAGGACGGCACGCTGTCCGAGGTGTTCCACCACCACCATCACCACCACCACCATCATCACCACCATCTTCAGGCCCCTCACTCCGTAACCCATCCGGCAGCCATAACCATCAGCCCGCACACCTACACCTGTTTCCCCGGCTACTACGTCCACTTCAGCCACCCGGACACCTCCCCCTCTCCCATGTCACCCCTCGCTTTGTCCCCAAAGAGCGGCAGGAGACCCAAGCTGCTGCCCAGCACCGGTCCACAGCCCTCAGGGATTACCCATCCAGTGTACTGCTGCACCTCAGTGGAGGCGTGCTACGGAGAGCCCTGCAGGGTCAACGGCTACTCCTCCTACACCGGTGTGATTCCAGCCATCGCCAGAGGAGGGTGCTCCTTCAGCCCCCCGGACTGCACCAAATGTAACCACGGCATCAAAAGAGGTGAGCAGACAGTTGATGATGAGTTAATGTACTGGTATCTGTCTTAATGGTACTTATGTAACAACACTCCTCAAACGCCTCAGATGGAAGGAATAAGGACAGTAGCGTGTCCTTTATCTCTTTTATTTCTGAATCCTAATAGGATGTGTGTAGTAAAAGTGTGGCAGTGATGTACTGCAGATGAACTTTAAAGTTGCCATCCTTAAGATTCCCGTCCTGGTTGAGTGAAAACTCCCCCTGCATGTTGGATGTCAACATCTTTCTTCAACTCCTGGCCCCCAGTTTGTAACGGAGGCTTATTGTGATACATTTGGAGTTTGTAGTAAATTCTCAGTCTTTAGAGAGCTTCCTGCGGAGCCACAAAATAAGTGAAACAACTTTTTGTTCACAGGCTGAGCTCCCCATGAGAAGGAAACTCAACTTTATGTGTAAAATAAAATCACTGACCCCTTTAAGTAAGACAGAAGGATTCCCCGACTAGGTTTTAGTATTAAACGTT